GATAACTTATGGCCATATGCGACAGCAAGTGGACCAACTGAAAGTAGCAGTGAGGAAGGAAGTATTCACAACAAGTGCAGGTGATTTTTCACATCATCTCAAGCTAATTGATGCAGTTCAGCGCCTTGGCGTGGCTTACCATTTCGAAAGAGAAATCGAAGAAGCCTTGCAACGTGTGCACGTTTCATATCATGACTATGACGGTGGTGATCTCTACACTGTTGCTCTTGGTTTTCGGCTACTAAGACAACATGGATTCAATGTTTCTTGCGGTAGGGGTGAAGAAATTAATTAAATGTGTGGAATGTGATGTGAGTGGCTCTTGGCTATAATATTATTCTATGTCTCATATATGTGCCCATTTTTTCTGACAATAAACCAGATATATTCAACAAGTTCAAAGATAAAAATGGTAACTTCAAGGAGAGCTTAACTGCTGATGTTCCTGGGATGCTAAGCTTTTATGAAGCAGCACATCTAAGGAAGCATGGAGAAGACATACTAGAAGAGGCTCTTGTTTTCACCACCACTCACCTTGAGTCGGCAGAAACAACGGACGAAAGAAATCCACTGGCTTTACAGATAACTCAAGCCTTAGAGAGACCTCTGCGGAAGGGTCTGGAGAGGGTATGTGCCAGGGGTTACATGTCAATCTACCAGGATGATGCTTCACATAGTGAAGCTATATTGAAACTTGCAAAGTTAGATTTCAATCTCGTTCAATCTTTACACAAGAAGGAGCTCAGTGAGATTACTAGGTAAGTCTTTGAATCATGTAAACATAAAATAGTTTGCAATTAGTACACCCTATACACTTAATATTGTCAATTAATTATAGGTGGTGGAAAGAACTGGACTTTGAAAAGAAGCTGCCTTTTGCAAGAGATAGGATCGTGGAGCTGTACTTTTGGATAGTTGGAGTCTATTTCGAACCGCATTATATGGCAACAAGAAAAATTCTTACAAAAGTGATTGCCCTGGTATCAGTTTTGGATGATATCTACGATGCATTTGGCACATACGAAGAACTCGTGATCTTTACTGGAGCAATTGAAAGGTTAATTGGAAAAAATATATTATCTGCTTTCTAATTAATTTGAAACTGATTTATTTGTTGCATAACTACTACCTGTGTGTATATCCTAAGATGAATATGAGGTTTATGCAATTTTCAGGTGGGATATCAATTGTATGGATGAACTCCCAGACTATATGCAAGTATTTTACCATACCCTCTTGAATGTTTACGACGAAATTGAGGAGGAGATGGCAAAAGAAGGAAGATCATACCGAGTTTACTATGCAAAAGAAGCTGTACGTAATGCAAATGCACAACTTTATTTGCTGTTAATCTATTTTGAGTTTGTTCCATGGGATTTTTTCAACAGTCACAACTCACTTTACTTTTCAATGCTTTTAACAAATGGCATAGGTTAAAGCTCAAGCCCGGAACTACTTCGCTGAGGCCCAATGGTTGCACAAAGACTACATTCCAAGCATGGAAGAGTATATGAGTGTAGCAACAGCTTGTGTTGGTAACACCTTGCTTTCAATTACATCTCTGGTTGGCATGGGAGATATTGTAACGAAGGAAGCTTTTGAGTGGTTGTTGAATGATCCTAGAATTCTTAGAGCTTCAAATATCATTTTTAGGCTCATGGATGACCTTAGTGGATACGAGGTACGTATAATAAGATGTTCTTACCTTGGTACAAATCACAATTAGGTAAGATAACTAAATTTGTATTTTGGATTTATTTTTGCAGTTTGAGAAAGAGAGAGAGCATGTTGCTTCTAGTATGAATGTTACATGAAGCAATATGGGGTGCCAGAGCAAGAGGTGCTTGATATTTTTAACAAACAGGTTAAAGATTTGTGGAAGGATATCAACGAGGAGTTCCTTAGACCAACTGATGTGCCAATGCCTGTCCTCATGCGTGTTCTGAATCTAACAAGAGTGGTTGATCTCCTTTACAAAGGGGAGGATGGCTACACACATGTTGGGAAAGTGATGAAAGATAGTGTTGCTTCACTTTTTATTGAACCCGTGCCTCTCTGATTTGGCTTATTATGAGATTTCCTTTTAGTCACTTTTAGGTCGTTCCTTATAATTAATTTTAAAAATAAGGTCATTCCCAAGAATTTATGTTGTCATGTTGATTGGATTTTTGAGTTTTTGAGAGAGATGGTTGTTGGGCTTGCTATGCTGTATTATTATGTGTACACTTCTTTACGATATGTTTCGGGCTAGACAGAAACTAAACCTTAATAAAGAATATTGTATTATCCACTATAGCTTGATCCATAACTATTTGCAGCTTCGAAAAGCAAATGGAGGGTAATAGCTTCTTGTTTCACAGTGCATCATAAATCACAATGCACTTGGATTTTGTGAAACCCTATATTTTTAAGGATTTTGAGATTGAAACGATTGATATTATTCTTTGATAATTGTCAGTAAATATATAAGAGCAATTGTGTACTAGATATGGTAAGAGAATAATATTATATTGATTCCTATACTGATTGATTCCAAATATGATACATGATTATAGGAGAGAGCATACTGAGGGATTGATTGACATTTTCACACATCGTGACAATTTATTGGCTAAACTTTAGCCTAAAACATATAACTCTGGAATCCACCAAGAAGATATGAGGAAACTTCAAGGTTTATTGATAAAATTGGAATAACAAAATATAACCCTAACCATGGGTAAAGTATGCTTAAATACTCTTAGAAACCTTAGGAATAACAAAGGAATTACAATAGGAAAATAACAAAGTTTCCAAAAACTATAAAACTCGATTTTGGGCTACCAAACGATATTGGATGCCCGAAAAAGCCCATACGTCATGGCAAAGTAATGGGTTTTATTCGTGACGTCGTTCCCTTCAAATCGGCGGGTCTTGGGTGACGAGGGGTAAACTTAATCACACAAACAAGACACAACAACACAGCAATCTTCACACACTTTAAACCTTGACCAAATACACATATGACTAGTCAACTACTAGTCAAGAAACAATCACAACCAATAGAATACACAGAGCATGCCACAATGTACCTGTATTCCTAGAAGATTACTAGTGACAACCTAGGCACTCAGAAGGACCCGTCAATCTAGGCATCCCCTGTGCTAGCAACAACTATGGTGAAAGTGTGTGAAATCATCATTATCATGTAAACATCAAACAACAGATACAGATGACTAGTCAACCACCAAGAACACAAACCCAGAAAAATTACAGATATGCAAAACAGATTTTGTTCACCCAAAAACCCACCATTGGGAAAAACTAGGAGTCATCAACCGACCAGGCATTCCACTAAGTAGAAAAAGATTCTTACAAAGGAAACACAACCAAGCTCAAGAAGCACCTAGGTCTATTTAGGAATATGAGCAATACCTCCTTTGTGCAATCTTCTTCTCCAACTTAGCAAAGCTTGAAGCTCAGTCCTTCATGGCAATGGCAGCTCCTTCTCCAGCTCGTTCATCCCATGGCACTAGCTTGCAAGCTCCAACACAAACCGAAACCAATTTGGATTCAAAGGAGAAAGACCAATTTCTTCAAGAAACCATACTCTTGAAGAAATCAATCTTAAATCTGACCTAGATATAAATGATAGAATGATTTAAGTAGCTAGATGCAGATTTGTGTTTCAAATGCAGTTTTTCAAAAAGAAATCAATTGGAAAAACTCATAGATGAAATAAGATGGTTCTCTCGAGGAAGAAGAAGCGAAAGATGGCAAGCCAAACTTTCCAAAACTTCCACACAAAAGAGACCGCAGCCAAATGAGCAATCTCGTGGGCTATACAGACCAACGAATTCCTTAGGTCAGAAAACCCACTTGGCAGCAGAGAGAGAGAAAGAAGAATAGGACAAAACAGTTTGTTATCCAGCTGGAAGCAAGGATGACTAGTCATATGAGAAACGGTTGACTAGTCATCATTTTATGAAGACTGTTTTATGTAATGATATGCAATGCTCAATACCTTTGTCAACTTGCTTGAGCCACCATAGAGCAGAGATTAGAGAAGAGCACCAATAAAAGTTTTCCCTAATCTAGACTTTGAGCTTGATAAATTACATTACACATCCTATTACAAAGTTGTCAAGGGAAGCCAAAAGAAAATAGTAAAAACCATACATTAACAATCTCCCCCTTTTTGGCTTTCCTTGACAACACACTCTCTAAGAACACTCAACCCAAAACCGAGACTAAGGAGATGATGAAGTGAAGGTACCTGCAAGAACAACCAATCTTCCCAGCACAAAAAACAAGCATATTATCACAGAAATTTTAAAACAATATGCAATGTGGGGTTGAGAGTGTTCTCCCCCTTGTTGATAAGGAAAGTGCAAAAAGGCAGAGAGATAGAAACATCAGATAAAAGGGATTAACCACAAAGTGATAGGCAATTAGGAACAAGGTTAACAGCAAATGTTCATAGATGGATGACTAGTCAACCAACAATAGTTTAAAAACAGTACAGAACATAGAGTTATGACTAGTCAAATATCAGTTGTTCAAAAATAGGACAGAACAACTCCCCCTATCACAATGCATAGACTACCCACAATGTGTTTACAAAAACAATCCCCCCTAGCAAAATGCACAGACTACTCACAATGTGTTTACAAAAACAATCCCCCCTAGCAAAATGCACAGACTACTCACAATGTGATTACAAAACACCTCCCCTTTTCAAAATGTACAACCTATCTAGACATAATCTTCCTATCTAGGACACAGCCAAGAGCAACACCAAGCTAAAAGATCAAAGAGCCACCAGAATCCACAGAGTCATCCGAGTCCTCATCAATGGCAGGAGCAGGCTGAGGATCTGCAGCAGCAGGTGCAGGAGTCGAAGTGGATGGAATGAGGCTCAAAAGATGTTGAATATACTCCTTCTTGGCAGCCAGCTGAGCTCTGAGAGAGGCATTCTCAGAGGAAGACGACACAGAAGTGAGAAAGGTTCTAGAAACTCTCTAGCTAAGGGCAGCAGAGGCCTTGCCATAAGGAGCAATGGGGGAATGCCACTGATCGGAATCAAGAAATGCCACCCCATTTTTCTCACAAAGGTGCTGAATCAGACAGGGGAACACAAGAGTCCCCTTGTGCTTGGTACCATGACCAATGGTTTTCCCAAGAATGGAATTATATAGGATATCACCAAGGGGAATTTTATCATGATTCACCATGGATATCATGAGTTGGCAGGCAGCAAGAGTGGGATTAGAATTGTTCCCAGTGGGGAGAACATTATGACGGATAAAATCCCACAAAAATTTATAAAAAGGGGACAGGTAAGACTTGATAGGCAGACCTTTAGAGGTCAAAGGCAAAGATTGATCAGTGTATGCCATGGATTTAAAAAGATCAATAGAGTATTCAGCAGAAGCAAGAGCAAATTTTGCAAAATCAAAACCAGGGCATGATCGAAAACCTAAGACCCGATTGATAACAGATGGTTTCAGAGTAATGGGTATTGACCTAACCAAAATCTGATACTTTGACTCCTTAGGGTCAGCAAGAAAGTTAGAGTAAAACTCTTGAACAACAGGGATGTTAAACTTACCAGAGAGAGAATTTAGGGCTTGAAGGTGGTAGTGCTCCAAAATCTGATTTGCAGACTCCTGAGCTGCCAAGGGAACAGCATCAAATTGATAAGTCCTCTTAGGAATGAATTTCCTCTTTGAGAAAACCTTATCAAAGAAGGAGGCAGCCTCAGAGGACACAAAAGGAGAGGAATCTCCAACAGGAACAGAGGAAGAAGAACGGGTTCGAGGAACCCTAGGAATTGACGGATTGAAATCCACCCTGTCAGTGGATTTTGATTTGGAGCGACGGTGGTAAGTGTGGAGAGGCTTGGAGGAAGACATGGTCAGCAGCGGGAAGAAATTTGGAAGAGAAAAACAAATGGAAGAAGGGACGAAGAGACCAGAACAGAGTGAGAGGGAGAGAAAAATCTGAAATGGAAGACTGACGAGAACAGAAAGAGAGATAAGAGGCAAACGAAACTGACGAAGAAGAGGAAAATAAAAGACCTAAAAAGGAAAACAAGGCGCAAACGACACGACCTAAAAAAAAGAACCGCTCAGAACCAAAAATGGAAAAAAAATAACCGCTCAGAACCAAAAATGGAAAAAAAATAACCGCCAAAACGAAAAATGAAAAAGACGCATCGGTTAGGGAACAAATCGGATGACTAGTCAACCACAAGCAAGATGACTAGTCAACCCAGGCAAAATTGGCACAGGCAGAGCACGAGAAATGAAAAAGACGCATTGGTTAGGGAACAAAGCGGATGACTAGTCAACCACAAGCAAGATGACTAGTCAACCCAGGCAAAATTGGCACAGGCAGAGCCGGATGACTAGTCAACCACAAATATGATGACTAATCAACCACAAATATGATGACCAGTCAACTAAGTCAATATTAGAAAGAACAACAAAGCAAAACCACCCAGATGACTAGGCAACCAAAAGCATAGATGACTAGTCAACTAAACCAGCATTATGACAAACACCAAATAATATCGACCCTGTGAAAGACATGATTTTGGTTCTTTTTTATTTATTTATTTTTAAATTATAAGCATGAACCAGCACATATATCAAGTGATCAAGGTTGCATTAGCACAATAGTCTAAACCAAGTCTTCAACACATGAAGAAAAGAGAATGAAAAAGAAGAATAGTTTAAAAACCATATGCAGTGTACATGGACAATCAACTCTGAGAGACAGGCAATGAGATGCAATTCATGCTCAGAGACAAGGCATATTTAGGAAAGAAGGAGGTTTAGAGCCAAGGGACACAAGAGATGATATCTAATCTCTCTTGGAGAGACACGTATACACTGCATTCTTAAGACATGATCATAGTATGGGCTCACAGCAAAAAATCAGCACTCTCTATTGACAAAATATTTGATGATTGATTTTGTGGTACTTGCACATCTCGAACATAAGTGCTTTGAATGGCCCAATTTTACGGCTCTTTGCTCTAGATTCTTCAATCAAACCACCTTATACCTTCCTAGAGCCGTGACTACATTGGTCACACTTCCCCTTTTTTTGTTTTTTTGTTTTTTTTTGTTTTTTGTTTTTTGTTTTTTTGTTTTAAATTTGAAATAGATTGGCTAAGAGAGTGAGACCAGCTAAGAGATAATAACAAGAACAGTCCAAAATGAAGCCGAGATACATGGCTCACCAAGAGGACAAGATAGCAAGATTTTGGTCTCAACTAACAGCTCAAAAACAAGAAAAAGGGATTATGCACAAGTCAAACAAAGCACAAAAACATTCAGCATGCACACCAGCAGAGATGAGTGATATGAACAGTGACATACTGGACTAGGCAACTTACAAGCAAGATGACTAGTCAACTGTTTGGAAGTGTGCTGAAGACAAGGAGCAGACTAGCTAATCAATCAATGGAACAAAGGCCAATGGATTGCCTAAGTGTACCATGTTTCTGAAAGTCCAAGGTCTTGGTGAGTATATCTGCTAGCTGTTTTTCAGAGGGAACAAATTCCAAAGATAAAATTTTGTCTTCCACAAGATCTCTAATAAAATGGTGCCGAATGTCGATATGCTTAGTCCTAGAGTGTTGAACAGGATTTTTTGAAATATCTATGGCACTCATGTTGTCACAATAGATTAGAAAACATGATTGAGCAAGACCATAGTCTTCCAACATTTGTCGCATCCAAAGAAGATGAGTACAACAACTCCCAGCGGCAACATACTCTGCTTCAGCAGTGGATAAGGAGACAGAATTCTGTTTTTTGCTATGCCAAGCAACAAGATTGTTGCCTACATAGAAACCCCCCCGGAAGTGCTTTTCCTATCATCACTACAACCTGCCCAATCGGCATCACTATACCCAACAAGATTGACACAAGTGTCATAGGTATACCACAACCCAAACTCAATAGTCCCACTCACATATTTTATAATTCTCTTAACAGCAAACAAGTGAGACTCTTTTGGGTCACTTTGAAACCAAGCACACACACCAACACTAAAAGAAATGTCAGGTCTACTAGCAGTCAAGTAGAGAAGACTTCCTATCATGCTTCTATAGAGAGTTTGATCCACACTTTTGCCATGCAAGTCTCTATGAATCTTAGCACTCGTGCTCATTGGAGTTCTTGCAGATTTGGCTCCTTCCAAACCAAATTTTGTCACAAGATTTTTTGCATATTTAGATTGGGATACAAGTTTAATTTGAAGACCTAAGAAATAATTAAGCTCACCGACAAGACTCATTTCAAATTCACTAGTCATGACATGAATAAAATCTTGAACATGCAAATCAGAGGTAGAACCAACCACAATATCATCAACATACACTTGAGCAATCAAGACATCCTTTTTAAACCTTTTCACAAACAATGTTTTATCAACGGACCCTCGAACATACCCATTTCCTAGAAGATGAGAGGATAACCTCTCATACCATGCTCTAGGAGCTTGTTTCAAACCATAGAGAGCCTTTTTTAACCGAAACACATCATTTGGATGATGTGGATCTTCAAAACCCTTTGGCTGCTCAACATAGACCTCTTCCTTTAGGACACTATTCAAGAAGGCAGTTTTGACATCCATTTGATAAAGTTTAAATTTCAAATGACAAGCAATGGCAAGAAGCAATCTAACTGATTCTAATCGTGCAACAGGGGCAAAAGTTTCATCAAAGTCAATGCCTTCCATTTGAGTGTATCCTTGAGCAACCAATCTAGCCTTATTTCTCACCACATTACCTTGTTCATCAGTTTTATTCTTGAAAATCCACTTAGTGCCTATGACATTTGTGTGGACTGGTCTTGGAACAAGGTACCAAACATCATTTCTCACAATTGATTTAATTCTTCCTGCATTGCAAGAAACCATTCACCATGGTGCAAGGCTTCTTTCACATTTCTAGGCTCTTCCTTGGAAACATAACACACATGGCTAATTTCTTGAGCAAGTTGTTTCCTAGTTCTCACTCCCTGATTAAGAGGGCCAATAATGACACTCGCAGATGGAGTGAGAGAACTATGATCAGTATGAGAGCTGTCAGCCTGGACAGAGGAGATGGAACTAGAAGTTGAAGGGGTTGACAGGTCAACCGGGACAGAATTTTCAAAAGTTGACAGGTCAACCACAAGATCCAGACCTGGAGATTCTTGCTCAAGTGGAGGAGGAGGAAAAAGACCATCCTCATCTAATGCCATCTCTATAGAGGCAGCAAAATCATCAATAGTGACATTTATGGATTCAATGATGGTTCTGGACCTACAATTGTACACTCTATAGGCTCGGCTAGAAGTGGAATACCCTAGAAAGATTCCCTTATCACACTTAGAATCAAACTTAGCAAGATGCTCCCTATCTCTCAAAATATAGCATGTGCTACCAAAGACCTTAAAATATGACACATTAGGCTTCTTTCCTTTCCAAATCTCATAGGGAGTTTGTTTGGTACCAGACCTCACAAATACCCTGTTTGAGATGTAACAAGCTGTATTGACAGCTTCAGCCCAAAAGTGTTTAGCAAGATTTTTGCTATTTAGCATCACCCTTGCCATCTCTACAAGCACTCTATTCTTTCTCTCCACAACACCATTTTGCTGAGGTGTAATAGGTGCAGAGAACTCATGTTTAATTCCCATCTCTTCGCAAAATTTCAGAAACTGAGAATTCTCAAATTCAGAGCCATGGTCTGTTCTAATTCTAACAAGAGGCAGATGACTGGTCATCTTCTCTTTTTGCAAAAGGTGACAAACAGACTTAAACCTTTGAAAAGTTTCAGATTTCTCACGTAGAAATGAGACCCAAGTAAACCTAGAGAAATCATCAACCATGACAAGAATATATTTCTTTCCACCAAGGGACACGGTTTGGATAGGACCAACAAGGTGCATGTGAACAAGTTCTAGAATTACATTTGTTTGAATGTGTTTGACCTTTTTGTGTGACACTCTGACTTGTTTGCCTAATTGACATCCTTCACAAACATGCTCATCAGATTTTTCCAGCTTTGGTAAGCCACTTACTAACTCTCTCTTGGACAATTTATGCAAGTCTGTAAAATTAACATGTCCAAGCCTTTGATGCCACAAAATACTTGTTTCATTTACAACCTTGTTGCAAACTATTTCTTTTGCATCGTTGACACCATCAATGCAGAAGCAATTGTCCCTAGACCTTGCCACGCTCACAATCTCATTTCCACCTTTTCCAATGATTTTGCAGCCATGCTTGGAGAATCTAACTTCTACTATTCCATCATCACACAGCTGACTCACACTAATGAGATTGGATGTGAGACCCTCAACAAATCTAACATTCTTAAGCTCGGGCAGACCAGGGATACAAACAGTACCTTTTCCAACAACTTGAGATCTATGACCTCCACCAAAAGTCACAGTGCCTCCATCAAAGGGGCTGAGAGATGAGAAAACATTTTTATCTCCAAACATATGTTTGGAACAACCACTATCAAAATACCAAGAGTTGATATTTGAAGCAGCAAAAGCATTTAGCACAACAAGAGATTTGCTATGACCTCTTGCAATCCAAGTAGACTTAGGCACAATAGGAGAACTCATTTTGAGGGAGACAAGTTTGGCTATCTTAGTGACCTCATTCAGCAAATGATCAACTTGATCTTGCAAAGATCTGGGATTCCTTTTAGATTTTGGAGACAATTTTCTGGTCTTATCTTTGCTATACATATGACAGGCTGGTCGAATATGACCAGTCAACCCACACCTGTGACAAGTTGGAACAAACTTAGGTTTCTTGACAACCTGCTGAACATCAAGAGGAATCGTGACTGGATTTTCTGATTTGACAAACTTAGTGGTAGAACTAGACAAACTAGAACCAAAGTGATTAAATCCAAGACCACCTTTGTCCCCATGAAGTTTTCCCATATTCAACATTTTGTCAATTTTTGATGCACCAATGGTCATAGATATAATCTTCCTATTTGCTTCATTCAATTCACCTAGGAGCTGTTTGTTTGAGTTCTGGAAACCAATGTTACTTTCCTTGAGCACATTAACTTGGTTCTCGAGGTTACTCCTAATTGACACAAGAGCATCAATTTCTTTTTCTAGAGACTCAAATTTGTCACTCAACTCCTTTTTGGTTTCTTTTAAGATGAGAATTTCATGTTGAAGATCTTGTTTATTTGCCTCAAGTTTGAGGCTCTCTTCTTTCAAGGACAAGGTCTCTTTAAACAAACAATCATGTTTTCTTCCTAATGACTCGTATGACAGGTCATCTGACTCAGAATCAGATTCATCAAACATGGGCTGTACAGAGGCAACAAAGGCAACATGTTGGTCATCATCATCAGAGGAAGATGAATCATCTTGAGAGCCTTCACTTTCACTCTCACTCCAGCTCACTTTCATGGCCTTGTCCTTTCCTTTGGAGTATTTTTTTCTGATTGTTTGCACAGTCAGCAGCATAGTGTCCAATGCCTCCACATGTGAAGCACTTGACAGATTTTCTAAAATCTTTCGTGAAAGGTTTGACATCCTTATTCCTCTCATTAAACCGATCAGTTGATGGTCTAAAATTTTTCTCACTACCAGAGCTGCCCTCTCTAGCAAACTTTCCCTTATCCTTAAGAATTCTCCTAAATTTTTTGACAAACAAGGCCATCTCATCCTCAAAACCTGAGGATTTATCACCACCTTTCGGAGAGGAAACATGCACTCCTTGAAGTGCAACATTTTTTGATTTTTTGGAGTCATTTTCTTCCATATTCAATTCCATCTCATAGGTTTTCAATTTTCCTACAAGCTTGCCAAGCTTAATTTCATTTAAATTTTGGACCTCCATGATTGCGGTTTTCTTTGCTCTAAACCTAGATGGTAGAACACGAAGAATTTTCTGAACAACAAGAAGCTCTTCAATGGGTTGACCTAGACTCATGGCTTCATTTGTGATCATCTCAACTCTTTCATAGAACTCAGAAATAGACTCAGTTTCAGACATCCTAAGTTCTTCAAATTGTGCAAGCACCATCTGAAGTTTTAGGGTTCTAACTTGGTCATCCCCTTCATGAACCACCCTTAGTTTATCCCAAGCTTGTTTAGCATTAGGGATGTGTTGTATATGTGCAAATTGTGTGCTAGACAAAGCTGTAACTAAGGCATTTCTGGCCTTCTTGTTCGAATATGCAGCAAACACCTCAGCTTCAGTCCATTCTGACCTAGGCTTGGGCACAACCTCACCCTCAACAGTCTTGACCGGAGCAACCCACTCTTTTGTGAGATACCCACTTGCATACTCATCAAGAGCATCAAGGAATATCTCAAATTTTTCTCTCCATGCAGCGTAGTTATTGCCGTCAAAATAGGGAGGGGAGTTGCAAGATCCAGCAACTCGATCCCTTTCCATAGTGAGCACACCTAAACACCAAAACAAATCCTGGGATCTCTCTATTTTTGTTAAGAGCTGACGCTCTGATACCAATTGAAATTGGTACTTAGGTGACGAGGGGTAAACTTAATCACACAAACAAGACACAACAACACAGCAATCTTCACACACTTTAAACCTTGACCAAATACACATATGACTAGTCAACTATTAGTCAAGAAACAATCACAACCAATAGAATACACAGAGCATGCCACAATGTACCTGCAATCCTAGAAGATTACTAGTGACAACCTAGGCCCTTGCCAAATACACATATGACTAGTCAACTACTAAACCCTTGCCCTTCATAAATTTGAAACCCAGTTGCTCGACGACTCAGTGCATCTACTACATAGTTAAGAACTCCATATTTATGTTTAATAAAAAATGAAAATTTCTGCTGAAAAGTAGCCCACCTGACATGCATTTTGTTCACACTCTTTTGGCCATTGATAAATTTCAGGGCTCGGTGGTTAGTGTAAAGTACAAACTTCTGTTGCACCAGATAATGTTCATATTGTTTCATGGCTCGAACCACTGCATAAAACTCTTGGTCATAAGTGCTCCATTTTTGGCATGCTTCACTAAGTTTTTCTGAGACAAATGCAACCGGTCTCTTATCTTGAGATAAAACAACTCCTAGACCCACTCCACTCACATCACATTCGACCTCGAATATCTTATCAAAGTTAGGAATGGCTAGAACCGGTGTTGTGCTCAACTTTTCTTTAATAAGGGCAAACTTTGCATTTGCTCTTCACCCCAATTAAAATTTCCACGCTTCAGGCACTTAGTAATTGGTGCAGTCAGGGTATTGAAATGGCGAACAAAACGCATGTAAAAGGTTGCAAGGCCATGGAAACTTCTCAAATCACTGGTTGTTTTCAGGATAGGCCACTACAGAATGGCTCGCACCAGATCTTCATCCACGTGGATACCATATGCACTCCTCAAATCAATTTTGGATATCAATCCTGCTACCGAAGTTTATTTTTATTTATTTATTATAATTTTAAATTGGCCTATTCATCCCCCCCTCTAGACATTATTAGTCATCCTACAGGTAATTTCATGAGGAATACTGTGAGTTTGATATTGTCAATGGATCCATTTGTGTTGTTTGTAATCTATTTCTGGTTAGTTGTAGTGGCCGTTATGGCTATTGTATCTGTATTTCTCTCATGGCGTAATTTATAAATGCAATCTCCCTACCCAGTAATGAAGGGAGCTAAGGCCCAAGGTGGGCATGTGCCCCCTCTCAAATTTTATTTTAGGCTATTGTATTATTAATATAATCATACTTTTCTAACCAAAATTTGAAGTGCCCATGCATTTCTTTCTTTGTACTTTTCTAATTTTCCTTTTCTCACTATCATTGCTACCCTTTGAAATCTCCTAGTGCTCATTTGGCATTGCTTATTTGGGGTGATAAGTGATTTTTTAAAAATTTTGGGAAGCACAGCCAGTTTGGTAAACTATAAAAAAATAATTTATTGTTAAAAATTGCTATGATTTCATTTTTTGATTATGCAGAAATCAGATTGAGGAGCGCTCAGTGTTTAATGAAACTTACATAATTCCAATAATACCCTTATTTATGTTTTGTGATGAATTTTGTACTTATATTTGTGATGAAGTTTTGTTTAAATTGTTAAAATCGAAATTAATCTATGTATTTTTTTATTTTGTTGCTTTCACTATCATCTTTTCGTGTTTGATGTTTGGGATTAAGGATGTTTAGGATTTAGGGGTAGGCTTAAAGCACCGGCTGAAACCCAGTAATCTTTATTGAGAAACAAAGGAATTATTCAATTAGTAGTAGATGCACTGGTTGCCCTTGACGAATCTAATTCAGCCAGATGGGAAGCATTTATCAGTGCAGAGAAAATATAAATTTGTGATCTTATCAAATTGGAAAGAACAAGCCAGAGTCTTGCTGCTCAAATTGGTGATCTTATCAATAAGAGTTCTTTGCATGTGTCACAAGGGTTGCTTTCTTTTCAGGATGCTTTGCTATATACAGTTGCCCTGTAATAATATAATAATATTATTATTATTATTATCATTATTATTATTATTATTATTATTATTATTATTATATAATTGATTTATTAATTTTTTAAAGGAATTGGTGGGTCCCACCGTGGATATGTCATCAGTTAACGTCTAACCAAACAGTCTACTTAACAAAAGGCTTAAATTGGTCAAATTTGAAAACCATTAGGTGTAAATTGATGAAATTAAAACTTAAGGGCCCATATTGAGAATGACCCTAAACCTTTAGGGAGTCTTTTGACGTTAGTCCTTATTTATTTTATAATTAAATATTAAAGTGAAAATGCTTTTTCTTTTACCAAACACTTGAATCGAAAAGTCATTTAAATATAATGCCATTTTTAGTCATTATACACAACTCACAGCACTATGACAAATTATTTACCAAACACTCAGAAACTAATTATTGTACGAACATCACTTTTAATAAAAAGTTTATCAAACGCCAAATTACTTTATCTCATAGCAAATATGATGGCGATTATTTTCACAACCAAATTGTTTGTTTGTTTGTTGGTTTATTTGTTTTTTTTTCTTCAAAAATGGAGTTCATTCATAGAATCAAGATAGCATACATAGAATAGTATAAAATTTAGGGATTTTCTGACGCCACCACTGTACCTACCGTTTGACTTTAAAAAAAAACCCAAACAAACAAATGCCTGCTGATTTCATTTTCGACATTTTAATATGGAAATCGGGCAAATAGCCTAGTTGCATAGGAGTTTTTTACTCTTTCGTTCTATAAAAGTCGTACAAATCCTCATAGATAAGTCAAATAAATTGATCAAGTCAGTCAATTGTACAGATGCAGAGGCGATTTTCTCCACTCGCTCAAGTTATTCAATAGCACTAGATATTGATCACAAAATAAAAAAATAAAAAAAGTCGCACTACAACAAATAGGGGGCCTGAATGATCACAAAAAAGTCGCAATCAATAAGAGTTCAGTATTACTCTCTGACAATAAATCTACATCGTTGATATTTCCTGTTTGTAAGAATAATAAACAGAAGGCTAAGAATATCGGAGAAAACCAGAAATGTTTTTCTGAATAGTTCTGAAGATTTTTTGGCTGTATTGATTTAGAAAGCTCAACAGAGTATTTATACTCTTACCCAAGCTTAATAGTTAAGTCTTAATGCTAATGGGGTCCATCCTAATGAAAAATGGCTTTAATTTTCAGACCATTGGTCTCGTAACTCCAATGACACATTGGTAGCGTGTGTGTGAAAAATCTCCGTCTTCTTATAATTTTGATTATCGCTTATATTCAAAATAATTAAGTCTAAACTAAATGCTTAGCTGTATAAATGACAATCTAACTAATTTATAAACTGACTAACCAATCGTACAGCTAAGGAGAGACGTGGGTTTACAAATTTCAATTATTAAGTCGAATATCAGAACTTCTCCAATCAAGTGGGGACATATACTACTTGACTGAAAGCTAATTTGTGCGAATCGTGGCTTCATAAGGAATGCTTAACTACAAATGAGGCCACATCCAACGCAACCCTACCAGAAACCCACTCCTTGAGGGCGATGAAAGGCTTCTTCAGTCAAGGAAGCTGCCGGGAAACAAAGAATTAAAAATGGTGAACCCATTATAAAAAACAAGATAAATCTACTCGATCAGAAGCAAGAAAAACGAAAAGATGATTAATGCGAAGCCATTGTTTGGGTTTGCAATAAAATAATGGAAAGCAAGAGAAAACTAAAAGCAATAATAATTAAAGAGCACAGGAGAAATCCAGAACTTCCGATCAGATGTAGGTTTCAATACTTTGAGAGGAATAAGTGTTTGCTACGACAAAATGTATATCACTAAAAGACACCAATTATTGAAGGCCACCAGCCTTTATCTTACTATTTTTTGGGAATTCGGATAAGTCCAACTCTGATGACATCTTCATATTTGTTGTTATTAATCTAATTGCAAAAAGGTTTTTTAAAAACTGCTTATTTTTTAATCACCATAATCCAAAACTGTCTCTCTCTTATCTCTTATGACTTTTGCATTTTTTTTTTTTTTTTTTTTTTTTTTTTTTTTTTTTTTGGATGGATTGGGATGGTTTCTTTTTATTTTTTTTTTAATTTTTTTTTTAAGAGCTAACATCATTTTATCTCTAAAGGTTTGGGGTCATTCTTGAAATGGGCCATGGAGCTTCCATTTTGTCAGTTTACGCCCTAACGTTTTAAAATTCAACCAATGTACACGTGTCGTCAATTTGACCCTTCGGTCTTCTGTTAAATAATGACATGGCAAAAGCAGGATCCACATTTTAGCTTAGATGTAATTAAGTATTAAGAAATAAATTTTTTTTAAAATTTAAAATTTTTGACAGATGTTAAAATTAAAAATAAAATAAAAACACACACACACACACACACATACATATATATATATATATATATATATATATATATAGTCCCCTTCTATTAAGGGATCCCTCAAATTATTTGAGGGATGCCCTTTAGGGTACCCTACAATTTTTTTTCTAATGATCCAAACCATCTATTTTTTAGGTCTTCATTCATAGATCATTCTTACAAAAAATTAGACAAATCGGAAACCGTTTCAACATCCAATTGTGTCTTACAAAATCAATGAACACGGTGCTTCAAGAAAGTACTAAAATTTCAATAACTCAATTGAATGGTCAAATGATATCGGATTCAAGTGATTTTTTTATAGAGATGGTCTTTGAATGTGTATCTACAAAATAGACGGTTTAGATTAGTGAAATACAATTCGGAGTGGGCCTTACAAAGGGTGTCCCTCAAATAAGCTTATTTGAGGGATCCCTTAATGGAAGCTCTCTGTATATATATATATATATATATATATATATCTCTCTCTCTCTATCTATCTCTCTCACCAGTCCTATCTTTATATCAACCCTCACTTCATTTCAAGA